CACTGTTTCTGCTTCTTCGCTGTCATTGATCCTGGGATTTCAAATCTATTTATCTTAGGTAAAGGCAAACACACCTAGAGTCATTACTCTTGGACTGACTGAGGGTTAGTTGAGATAAAAAGAACAAACCCATTTTTAACCTGCTTGGTGGGACAGGCCTCTTCCTTTAAGCTAAGCTTATGATAAATGAGAGTGGCGATAAAAGATGTAGCTGTGGTTTTGATGATTTTTGAAGAAAAAAAATGTCTGTACTGAAAACATAAAGGTGTAACAGTAAATAAAGTTTGAGTATAAAAACGATTAGCTTAATTTTTTTTCTAAAAATGATAACTAGCTGTGGCAATTCTTCCATAATGTGCTGTTTCACATTTTTTCCTCAGATCTAAATGTACCATATCTGGGTTGCTTATCAAACATTAAACATAGACAACTCAACATCAGTTTGTGAGTTGTTATTTAAAAATCTAAGGAAATCAGAAATTCTCATGCAATGTTTGGCAATTTAGCTGAACCTAATTTAGGAAAATTACCGTAAATCCTGTTTAAAATCCCAGAAAATATAAAAATGGAACTAAGCAGTTTTTTGAAGGGGAGGATGGGTTGTAGGTAAAATGCCATGTAATAAAACTCATTATTCTTGTTTAAAAAGACTGTATAGAACCCTGTAACTAACAGTGCTCTTGCATTCAGATTACCACAAAATTTATAAGTAGATGCATTATTTTTCTAGGTTTTGGTCAAATTACTGGCTAAAATGATGATAAATGAAAATGATATAACTTGGCTCTCTTATATTTTACATAATTATGTTTAAAACTGATGTTCTCAGCAAAGGAATCTAACTGCATCACAAAGATTCCCATGATGCTTTTTATGGTTTTGACCTCATCTGAACTGCTGGGTTGTTATTCCAGCTTATTACAAGTTATGTCAACATAAAGGTTGAACTTTTTTAAAGCGGCAGTAAATACATGCAACGAAAGTTAAATTTGTTTGCAATCCAAACTGAAAGTCTTATTGCTGAAATTTTGGACACGAATTCAAGTGCTGTAACACTCCTAGAAAAAAAGATCTTCCCCTTAATTTCTTTAAAATGCTTTTAATAATTAATAAATGATAGAAATATGCTTTTGTAATTGTTTTTGGAAACTTCCTTTGTTTTTCTCAGACCATCATAAGAAATAAAAAAAAAATTTTGTGAAATGTGCCAAACATTAGCTTATAATCCAACATTTAGTGAAAGACTTAAGCTCAAAGATGGATACATATCATCTAAAGGTTCATCAAATAAAGACGAAAGTGTGATTGTAGGTGAGCACATTGCTGGTGATACAGTTTACACTATGTTGTAAAATTTATTCCTGAGAATAAGTTTTACAAGCAAGAGAGATGACTTAAAAAAAAACAAGAAAATGGTTTTCCTTTTCATTCTGCGCTGATATTTTTCCACATTTTTCCAAGTTTTGCTGTGTCATTGTAGGAGAAGCACAGTACAAGTTGTATAAGCTTTGAAGTTTGTAATACTGTTTAAGCCATCTCTTGTTTTTTTGCACAGGTGGTATATTTGTAATATGAATAAATGTTTATATATTTAGAATGTGAGCAGAAAAAAAAAACAAGTTTATACATTTTCAAACTGTCTGCAGATATTTGTCAAGGAGCAGTGTGTTTGAATTTTTGGTAACTTTTAAGATAACTTGAGCGACGGTATCCTCTTGCTTACTGTAATAGGATCATACATTTTTTTTTCAGCTTTGCTTAAATCTTGCTATAAATCTAAGTAGTATACTTAAAGCTAAGTTCCTTACCCTTACTTTTTGTAATCTTTAACATGGAAAAACTATTTAAAAGTAAAAAGACTACACAGTACATACTGTAGTGCAACTGTATTGTATTTCCAAATGTTTTAAGTCAGATATAGTGTAAGTTGTTTAATAATTTAAGCTGATGTAAAATATACAAGGTGCCACCTGTTTAACACTGTTGAATCTAGAGTGATATATGCCTTCACATTTTGGGAGAGCTGGACATGAACATCCATCCATCCACCCATTATCTGACACGCTTGTCCCAATTGGGGTCGCGAGGGGTATGGACATGAACAATGCTGTAAAAATAAAAGGTTATTTATATTAAAAAGTCTGATCTCTGCCCTTAATTAATTTCTGAAATACTACAGTTTGCGCATCTTAACCCATTCGTGGTGCAGTTTTTTTTTTGTTGGTAGAATAATTTTAAGCATCAGGTCAGGCATTGTAAAATGTAAAGGGTCACAACACTGATCTATATGATGTTTACATAAAGGCAAATTAAAAATGAGATAACCAAGGACTGTGATTTGATGTCATCAATATTTTCAGAGGATGACTCACTAAACCACTTAAAGCCATGTTTAGATTTATAATAGAGGTGGGGGATATAGACTGTAAATAATATCTTGATATGTTTATGGTAAGATGATATAGGATATGTATCCCAATATGTTTTTCTTACCACACAAATTTTTAACAAACAGTTGTAAATGAATAAGGCTAAAAAGTAAGGTACTATCATAGACTACTTAAAAATATAATCATAATTCACCATCAGGGCTGGACTGGCCATTGGGTATAATGGGCATATGCCTGGTGGGCTGATGCCCATTTTTGGGCTGACCCAAGGCTGTCATAATGCAATCAAAAATGTATTTATCATAATTCAAGTAATAAATTCATTTATATTAATAATTGATAAACTTATGGAATTATAATTTAATCAAAGGTAAAAAAAAAAAAAAAGATAATCTTAACAGTGATACATGAAAAATCTCTTTTACTTTAAATTACTTTTCGCATATTTTCTGGTTTGGTCTTTACACTACAAGATTCTTTTGATTTTATGATAATTTACATAATATTAAAGTAGTCTTTTTACTTAACAGTTCTTTCAATTTATGAATTTCTTTCTTTTATATATTTGTTTTTAATCATATACTACAGTATACTTCATATACTGACCAGCGCTAGTTTGTATCAATACCTTCATTGATTGAATTCCCCAACTTGAATTGTGCATCAAATCCCAGCACCTTACCTCAGAGTACTCCAGTTTTAGACAGTATCGACTACTTCATAAGACCAATGATATCAGGCATATGATAAAAAAAAGGAATCTCTAAAGATTGCTATGTATTAGTTTAGCACCATATTACAGAATTATGTGCTCTTATATGTGGGTGGGGCCAGGCCAGAAAGACAATCAAAAAGGGGTGTTACAGAGGAAGGAAAGAAAATATATTCTTTGTTATTAATGTAGAAATTCATTAAAGGATGTCATTATCTTTCTTACATTCAAACATAAGACTATTCACTTATTTTAAACACTATGTGACCTGAGATAGCCAACAAATATCCCCTATCTTTCTGTTTGAAAGAAAGATCTGTATAGAGATTCATCCGGAATTACTATCTTTGCTTTAAGATTGTCACAACTTGGTTATGGTTAGTTGACCCAAAAGCAGAGGCAGGGAGGCAGAGGTGAATTTCTTGTGGATTTAATAATGAGTTTACTGAAAACAGAGGCAGGTAATCCAAAAATCCAAATACGAAAACAGAGTTCAAATAAACAGGAAACCAGGAATCCAAAAATTCAAAAGAAAACCAAGTCCAAACTAACATGAAACCACAAGTCCAAAAATCCAAAAATCAAAACATGAAAACTAGTCAAAACGTACCAGAAACCAAGGAGACATCAGGGGAATTGCAATCAAAAGGAGGAAGGCTCATAGAGAAGGAGTTGGAGCATGTTTGATGAGGAACCAGCAAAGAAGAACTGAACAGAGAGAGTATTTAAAGGAGACTGAGACAAAGAGAGGACTAATGAGCAGATTGGGAGCAGGTGTGCACAGAGCAAAACAGAAAAGGAGCTAGGGAAAAAGGAGAACACAAGAGGGCAGCAGAGGGCAACAAATAAAAGCCTAGAAAACTGAAAATAACCAGAAAACACAACAAAATAAGAATTAAACCACTAAGACTGTAAAACATGGAGCAGAATAAAACTGAAAACTCAAAAGAAAAACATAACAGAGCCAAGACTGAAGCAGTAAGTAAGAATTAACCAGAGAATGCAACAAAATAAAAATAAAACCACTAGAACTAGAAAACAAGGAGTAAAGCAAAACTGAACACTCAAAAGAAAATGTAACAGAACCAAGGATAAGACAGTAACTGGAAAAAAAAAAGAACACAATAAAATAAGAATTAAAGCACAATAAACAGAAAACAAGAAGCAAAGCAAAACTGAACACATAACAGAAAAATATAACAGAACCAGGACTCTAACAAAGATAATTAATTTGTTGATTCTGTATTTTTAAATCAGTTTTGAGGTGTTATAGCTGTTTTTATTTCTTTTAATATTATTATTTTTTTATTGTAGAATGCTTACTGTTGTGTTTTTTTAGGTAGACAATTTTAAGATCTGTCCAGGGACAGCAGATGAAAAATAGCCTTTTGGCTAATTCTGGTGCATTTGCAGGAATGCTTTTTAATGTACACTGTCCCTGTCAAATAAATAAATAAATAAAATTTGAGATTAGAGAAATCCCATCGTTTTAAAAGGACAAGTAAATATGGGATTATTCCCCAGAGGCAGTGGGTGTTGTACTTCATTTGGGGCCCACGCAGATAATGTTTCTTATGGGCCTTTTGTTGTGTGGTTACGCCATTGGTGACCATGGCCACCTCTGGCCCCCCATCTATCTCCGCCCCTGTTATTACCTTTGCATGTAGCTTATAATTGTCATGCATTTTTAACATAATCAAAAAAATGACAATAAAAAGAAAAGCTGGTTTGGCTTGTATGACTGATAACCCGTGGGCAGAGGGAACAGAAAGGTGTCTGGCATGGTGCGAGGGTAGGTTTATAATTAAAAGGACATATTTGGGGCACACGAAGAAGAAGCATTTCAAAGCTAAGCGACATTTCCGGGTCCTATGACTTATCAGGTGGTGTGGCAGTGGGAGGAGGAGCAGCAGGAGGAGGAGGAGGAAACAGGAGAATTAGAAAGTAGTGGTGAAGGAGGGACAGAATAGGGGGTGATTCCTTGACCGAGCCAGCTCTCTAACCTGCCCAGTCCTCCTCCTCCTCCTCCTTCTCCTGTCACCGCAGCTATATGAGCCAGAAAGCAGAAGTTGCCCAAAGTTTAGCAAGCAGCTTTCAGTCTCAGCATGGCCGGAGGCTCAGTGTCAGAGTGTAAGGAGTATCTGTTCAAAGTCCTGGTCATCGGGGAGTTAGGAGTCGGTAAAACCAGCATCATTAAACGTTATGTCCACCAGCTGTTCTCACAGCATTACAGGGCGACCATCGGAGTCGACTTCGCTCTGAAAGTCATCAACTGGGACAGCAAAACTCTGGTGCGCCTACAGCTGTGGGACATCGCAGGTAAGAGTCCAACTTTTATTATTAATATATTGATTTATTTTGCACACAAATACATCTGAATATACCGGCTCGGACATAATACTGAAGTCTTTGTGCGTGAGAATCATGTGTCCCAGTGAGGAAGTTTCCTCTTTTGCAAGAAAAGAGAGATTCTTTGCAGCGAGTTGACAGTTAACTCGTGAAATTATGCAACATGTTACGACCACAATAAATCTGATATGTAAGAAGACAGATAAAAATAAATAAATAAATAAATAAATAAATGGTTTAATTCCCTACAGGCCCTTGGTTTAAATAGTTTAGAGAGGAAATTCCCGCAGCCTTCATGGCCGCTCATTGTGTTTTCCACTTTATGATCACAGCAGATCATAATTGTCAGTGGAATGTAGGTCACGCTGTTATTACAACTATAAAGCCCTTCTATTAAATGGTTCATTCTTACTCTTTATGACACTTTTATTGGAATAACATCATGGTTCTTTAAGCTGTGGGTGAAGATTTTGTGGCACTAGGGTTGGTTTGATTTGTAGGCCAACTCTGGAAATTCCAAAAGAATAGAAAAGAATAGAGTTGAAAATCCCTTTATTGTCCTACAATGGGGGAATTCAGGTGTTTACATGTATAAGAATACCATAATACTATAATAGTTAAATAAATAAACAAATGAAATACTGTACTGTAAAGTGTTTTAAAAATATAAAGAATAAATAACCAATATATAGCTAAGGACATTTTTACAGTAACTGATATTTGACAATAGCAGCAACATCAGAGATGTGCAAAATAACAGCAGCATGTTATTCAACTGACTTAGATGGAAACTGTGCAAAATTATCATTATCGTTATCTCCCTTTTATCTCCTCTTTCTTTTATCTTTTCTCCTTTTTTCTGTTTTTCCTCTTCTGTTCTACCTACATTGCAGTGTCCATATAATCTGTAAAACTCCCTGCATAATTATAATAAAGCAATTTATATGCATGAAACAAGTGGAACACTATGGCGGTAGCCCTACTGCTCTACTTGTGAAAGTAAAATCTGTTGGGCACTTTTTGACATCAAGACACTTATTGCCACATTGCCAGACAGGACACTGTAAAAAAAAAAAACCTGTAAAATCAGCATGAATGTAACAGCTTATTGAGGCTGTTGGGAACCGTGATGGTTATAAAGACTTACAGCTGCTGGGAGGAAGGATCTGTGATAATACTCCTTGGTGCATTTAGGGTGCAGCAGTCTGCCATTGAAGGAGCTAATAGCTCTTAACTCCCAAAAGGGAAATAAATATGTTCTCCAATCACAGTTATCTCTGCTTGATCAGAAACTTCTCAAAAGAGAAGTTCAATAAAAAAAAAAAAAAAAGCTCCAAGTTGAGATTAAAGGTGAAGATTTTTTACTTAAGAAAAAATACTGCTGGGTTCAACGCAACCACAAACCCTATGGAATAGCAGGACTATACCATTTAGAAATGGCCAAAACTGTATAAGTCAAAATTAATTCTTTTGTATCCAAACGGCCAATAATCTCGGGATTTTCCCCTCACTTTTAAACCAAAATCTAAGATTTTAACTTCTTATTAGAGATGAAAGCCAATTACTGCATCCTCACAACAATCAAGCATTTCCAATGGATGGATGAATATACTATTTATATATTATGTGGAGTGAACAGGATTATTTTATCTCCTATTCTCAAATAGTACTGTATTATGTTTCTGATTTTCTTATTATGTTATTATACATTTAATAGAAAAGCTTGAACATTGACTGGGTCTAGAAGCTAGAAGTCCTAACTACAGGGCAACAATTTGTGCAATTATGGTCTGTCCCTGAACAAATAAAGTTAAATGAAAAAAGGCCTAAAACAAATGTCTGTCTAAATGGTAGCAGAATGACATTTACATGTCAATTTAGGTTGTAAACCCTTTGATAATCATCTAATTTAACTGTTGATGGGCAAAGAATCCCCTTTGTCACACTGATTTATTGTTTGATAACACGGCTTGTGTTGTTAAACAATAGTGTTGTCCCCCGTGTACGGACTCTTATTGACTTTTTATTTCAGTGTCAACTTAAATAACCTCTTTGTTGAATGCTCCCAGACTTGGCCCACATGCCAACCTGTTGCATTCCAGCAGCTTGAGTAAGCAAGCTGAAAGGAATCTGAGCAGGGTAAATGTAAGTTTCCCCCTTTGTAGGCAGTCAGGCAAGTACACGTATCATCACACTGCAAAAAGTACCAGAGGTATCTGAAGAGTTAGAAACCAACATGCTTGAAAGGATATATGTATGAGGAAGTGGGAAAAGCATAGACAGAGAGGGTCTTTCAGGTCACTGGCTGTAGCAATCCTGGGATTACTACATTTTAATTAACATTAATGAATATGCAGTGTCTGTGCTACTCTATTTGAGTCAACTTTTTGCTATTCTGCTCCTAATTTTTATCTGTATCTCTAAAAATAGATCTGATATGTTGAGTTGTGAAAATCAGCGGTCTCAATCCTTCATACTGAGCATGGTGGAAGTCATGAGGTCAATTCATGCTGATTATTATTTGTGTGGAAGAAGATCATGTGGCACAAGGCCTCTACATGTATGTTTACAGACTAACCTTTTTTTAGCTTTCATTTTGGGCATCTGCTTTTTATATATATAAAAATGCTACTGTCACTGAAGAAATATTATATATTGCATGAGGTTCTAAAAAAAAAACATTTGATCAACCTTTTAACAGTAGTGTCTGATCAATGGGATATACAGGGAATATAAATGAGTACTAGACAGTCAAATGTAGATTATTTGAAGTATACGTTCGTCAACCAATCAATCAATAAACTAAATAACTAAACAACCAAACAAAAGTTTCCATTGAACTATACGGCTATGCCTATGACTAACTCTCCTGGATATAATCAAATATCTTGAGGTACTATCAGCAACATATTTTGGTGCTTTATTCAACCATTTCTGTAAATTGTATCAAAATCATTAGGAAAACATAGACTAATAATATCAATCCTTAGTACTATGGCTGTAACATACTATGAAATCTAAATAATGGAACCAGTTTCTCAGTTTGACCTAAGATCTTACCATTTAATATATAAGAGAAAATACAATGAAAATTTGTTTTGTATGAAGGGTGTTGTAGAGTTTTCCAGCACAGTAGGGAAATCAGATTGCTAATGAACACAAGGGAAACAATAAGGCTTTGTGGAATGATGTAATCTAATCGGATCAATAAAAGAGGTATTCCTGACCTTAGTAACAGAGGGCAGCATTTGTTCATGACCGAAGAACTCTTTCAAGGACCTTTATACCGACTGTTTTGCATACCTGGGAAGATAACTTTGATTTGACAGTGTTGATCTAAATTAAAGGTCTGGACTGTTATGATAAAAAAAGAATGTACCCTAAAACAGCTCTAGAATATACTAATAGACCACTGTATGTCACCACATTATTGATCTCACAGTGGAGAAAATTACTTGTTACACATATGGCTTTAGATAACTTAACTGTTCAGTTAGTGAAAAAAAATATTTCTATGTTTTATTAAATCAGTGTTTATTACCATAGAATAGTCAATTTTTATTGAATTGCAGTAAATAGTTTCAAAGTATACTAAGGACTTTCTTCTTTCTAAAAGTCCAGCAGCATATACTTAATCTAGACTTGTCGATTTGTGACCAATCTACCGAGCTGAAGTTGTTGAGATTTATAAGATTGAGAGAATAGAAAAAAAACAACTCTTGTCCACAGTCTACTTTTTTTAAATTATTTTTTTCACCATCACAAAAAATCCAGTTGAAGCTGAAGTTATGAAGTCAAAAAGCTTAAGGCCGCCCTCATCAGCGTTGTCTGTGTATATGGCAAGATGTAATGAATTTAATTGTTTTCATCCTTTAAATTTGATAGCAAAAATAATAAACTAAAAAATATATATATTTGTTTCAATCATTCGCTGCAGGAGATGACCTTCATTTAAAGGGCAATTCAATTGAAACTGTTCAAAATATATGTAAAATGATCACATTTCACAACAAACAATAACATTATAACACAGAGTAAATGTTCGCTGGTATCGCATAGTTAGGTAATTTATCATTTATAAAAAGAAGTAGAGCAAAAAATTATTAGCTGTCTGAGCTATGGAAGCAAGGGGTTGCTTTAGTTAAAAAAACAAAAACAGTTTTTCAAAAATTAAATCTCCGTATAAAAAAATATATGTAATTTACAAAATTAATTAACTGTCCAGCCCTATCTGAATGTATTTTTTTGCTTGTTTGCTTGTTTTTAATTAAAAAGTTTTTTTTTGCTTTGAAAAAACATCCAGATGTTGGAATGGTACTGCAGTCTTATAATTTCTTATTATTGAGGAAGGCTCTCCTAACTCTGCTATTGTATGAAAATGAAGAATTGGGGAATTTTTTAGACTTATAATTGTGTCAGATTATATATTCTTTCCAATAAGTTATTTGTTTCTAACCAATTCTTTGGTACACTTTACTGTAGATCCTTTTTTTCAAAAGCCCAAAATTATTTCAAGGGACTATTAAGAAGTAATTCAGGTGCAGCAGTAGGTATAACTCATAAATTTTTTTCTTTCAGTAATTTCTTGACATATGCGTTAGTTGTTTTTCACAAAACCAAGTTTCCATTAGAGGAGAGAGGTGATCTAGTGGTTATAGCAGTGCACTTGTGCTCTGAGAAGGTTGGAAGTACCTGGGTCGAGTCCCACAGTCTGCACTCTGGGTCCCTGAGCAAGACCCTTAAGCCCTGATTGCTCCCCAGGCGCCGCACAGTGGCACCCACTACTCCCCAAGGGGATGGGTTAAGATGCAGAATTGAATTTGTCCCTTGTGAGATCAATGATCTTCAGTTATTATTATGTAAATTAGAGCTGCACTATAGTTGAATCACAGTCATGTCAATGCCCTCAGTATTGCAATCTCAATATACTGCTTATATTTCAGTTAATAAACAGTAATTTTCTGCATAAT